GAGTACTGTGTTCTGTGCAGAATGGCGGTGGAATAAATTCTGTAATTTGACTGCCTAACGAGCAACGCGCGTGCCTATCACCACCGGAGTAGCCACCTGAGTTCTTTTGGTGACGAAATGCCTACTTCGTCCACGGTTGTTTACTTGTCCGCAAAAATCTGAACATCGGAGTGGAGCTATATCAGTCTGGCTGTGAAAGAAAAAGCGCTCTCTCAGTCCGACAATGGACTGCAAGTTGCTTTTCGAGTGCCCGTGTGAGCTAAAGTTTTTGACTTCCAGGACACAAAAACAAGTAGACTCTGTCCTTCAATGATACCAGCCAACGGCCACTTTCCATAATTGTAAATACGTCCAATCGCAGCAAACAAGACCCGGACCCTGGCTTGACTGTGGTATCGCTTGATTGAAATGCTTTATGACAAACTGTCCCGAATTTAAACCACCTCTCATCCACACCTATGAGGACTAATAGGTCGGAAATGGTCATTGTCCCCGCCGCGTGTTGCTGATGGCCAATGTTACCGCCATAGTCGAGTTTTTTTTGATAATAAGAATGACGGTACCCTTTTTAATTCGGCTTTAAAACGCACGAGTTACAATTCCTCTAGTTGGTTTAGTTCATTCCGCTGTCATTTTTGGACGCCCTTTAAAAAAGCCACCTCTTTTCTCCGCAACGATTACTTATTTACGCGTCGGAGTCGTTTATGGCACTTAACAGTACGAATTTATTTGTGTTTTTTCGGCTATCATGTTATTTGTAGAAAAACTTACTGCAACCGAATTCTCTGTAGATGGGTACTATTTTAAATAATGCCAATAAATCCATCTGGAACGTTCTTTCTGCTATTTCTGTTAATTCATTTTCACACTTGAGTTATAAGATTGTACTAACCTGTTACTGACAATCAGGTGTAAATGCATCAGCGGAAACTCGGCTTCAAAGAGGTATTTTGCACATGGCTGCAGCAAGGAATCGACTGCACCTCACGCCAGCTCTTCTGAAATCAGGTAGATTCTCTCTCTAGCTAGAAGGGATTCCTCTCCAATAAAATGGACCTAAAATTTATTAACCGAAGGCATCTTTTATTGCGAGGTGTTGTGGTTTCTTTGTCTACTAGTTGTGTCCAACCTCGGGTATACTGACATTCACACGAAAAGTGACAACATCAGCTAACTCACGAGCTAACGGGTACCACCCCCATCACTCTATGTGCGAGATTGTAGCACCTGCCGCAACTTCAAAGCAAGAAGTATTTTGCAAAGATAACTTGTGTATTTCGCCAAGTAAAATTACTTCGTGATTGCTTGGTAACGACGTCGGAAGTATATCCAGTTCAGGAGATCTGAATGCGGAATACAGTGTCGTCATTGTCATGTGTGATGTAGTACAGTCAGATATTTGTATTATGACAGATGGGCGCTCATCGAGCAGGTTACGGAACACGCTCGTTCCGTTGTGCCCTGGGGCTCATGCTAGAACCCTTGCAGGCAGTCGCACAGCGACTAGTAGAAGTAAATGAGATGATGTCGACAAAGACAAGGTAGACCGGAATGGCCATTTCTGGCTTAAGATTTACAAAACCCTAACGCGGCAGTTTTTTCAAGAAAGAACTTGACAACTCAAATTGCATCGAACAGCTGTTTCTATAGTGGGCTCTGGAAGCAAAACTAGAATTCTTCTTAGAAAAGTTAAAATACCCCTAGGGCCTATGGGTCAGTCACTTTTGTTTGGCTCAGACTTTGTCCTTGGTCCCCCAGATCACTGCAGTCCCTATTTTGTCTTGCAGATTGAAGAAGACACGATATTGGTCTTTTCAGCGTAAAGGAAAGAAAGGGCCCATAATTTGCTGGTTGCTTGTCTAGACACCTGGCAAACACTGCCCTGAGGAAGAAAGTTCATCCCGATAAATAACCGTTAGGTTTCACTTCTGTTCGCAAAGCTAGTTAAATTTTCATTCTTAATAATCGACTTGATTCCTGCTCGAACATAAACCATTATTTTCTAGGAGCTAATCCCGACAGAAAGGATTTTCGGGGTGTAACTGCAGAAGACGTCGCAAAAATATACGGCTTCAAAGGCTTTGCAGATGATCTCTTCGTTCGTCGCTGGTACTTGAAGGCCGAAACCATAACTCCCAGGCATCTTAATCCGCCCCCGATGGCTTTTCAGATGTACGACTCAAAATATCCAACGTGGCTATATGGTGACTGTGGTCAGATTTATCTTCAGGTAAACGTTCAGTTAACATTGAATTCATGAAAAGTTGTCAGAAGTAATAAATAGACCGGCAAGACCGCCCCTTTTCAAGGGCAATAAATTACTCAAAATATCAGCCCGATATGACAGTAAAGTTAATGGGAGTAGTATGAAAAACAATACTGCTTGCGAGTTTGAATATAACAAAAGCTACAAATTTTCGTTACGATTTTTAAGCGTAAAACTATAGAATACCCAATTAGTACTTGTGATTTAAAGTGATGGAAACGCAGACTTATTAAATATGGGGAGAGATTTTCGCTGTTTATATTTGATACTTTTTTCAAGGGACCTAGTAGAGCCTATTCAGGGACGATTTTTCAGGACAAACACCGCGCACGAAATTGAAAGTCAACGAAGAAAGTCGTTGCGACCCAAATGAATGCATGTTGACTTATACCAGCACGCTACGTTTGATGCGCAGTACACTGTAGTCGGGTTCAAATATCTGAGCCCTAAAGAACTGTAGACATTTGACTAGGCGCGGCAACCCATTGATTACCTTGTCTAAAGACTAGGTTGTATATATTCTGAAGCATGAGCTCCTTTAAATGTTTCCACCTCACTGCTGAATTCTCATTTCCCGCCCCCAAAACTTGCAGAAGCTCACACCTGCTGGCGAATACCTTGGAACAGGCCTCTCAGCTCCTCGAGCCAAAAAGACTATGACGGCCGATTCGACTTAAAACGATTCTTCAGTGCATAACCCAACTTTGTTTATTTTTCCCCAACCGATTGTCAAGGTTACTTTTATAGTTAAGCTTTTTGTGAATAACGATAATAGTAATAATTGTGCCGTCGTGCGCTCTACTTTCGATTTACAAAAAATGATGTCTGATAGCGCCTATGTTGTGTGGAGAGGCAGTTTTGTGAGAATCCAGCAGAACCTGATTTACTGTAGTCTGTGACCTTTATTTTCGTCCGAACTGGGATTTCATGAGCGAAGGCTAAAGAAAGTGACGTGTATTTTGATGGTTGAGAAACAGACTTTTAAAATAAACAATAAATTCCAGCCTTTTAATCTTCTCAGGAATTAACGAATTAACTTGGAGCGAATCCTCCGGGACAAGCTTTTCGAGCTTGGTCCGGACGTTGATGTGAATGTGTGGGCGGAAATCGGTCTGCATCAGCGGGGCAGCTGAATAATATCTGCAAGCTGCCATCGGGAAATCAGTAGTATATGAATGCTGCATGATTCACAGCAATGGTACGGACACCTGTTGCCCTGGGGGGACACCATGATAGTCTCAGGCCCGGATTACTCATTTTTGGGTTCAACGGTGCGGTTTTTGTAAATTGTCAGTGAGGCAGATTTGGACGGAGGAGATTGGGTGGTGTCGTCCGGGCGTATAAGTTGGCCCGAGGTTGTCTAGTGAGTCCAACTAGTACCCAGAACGTCCCCTGGCATCGTGCGGAGGTTGAGGGCGGTCGAGTGTTGGCATTGAAAGGTGGGCGCAGTTGCGATTTGCGAGTTTCGCGTTTGGCTTTGGCAGCGTGACTGTATCGTCTCCCTCAGATGGTAACATCGGTTCTCCACGGTGGTGTTCTCATCGGCAGCGGTGACAGGAAGGTTGGCTAGTTGTTGGGCTAGTTTAGTCCTAAAATGGTAAGCAGGCAAAGGCAGAAAGTACTATTCAACTCACCTGAGGGTCGCTTACTTTGAGGTCACTGGCGAGGCTGTAGGCTAAGCTGAATCCTGAAGATGTCGAGATGATGGTCAGTCCATCCGTAGACACCAGGTATCGCCTTCGTCACCAGCACTTCGAACGAGGGCATAGTCCAGCAGGTGCCAGTATTGAAAAAGGAGACAAGATCGCCGGGACAAGAGCTTTATTAGCCTGGCGTTTCGGATTTCCGCTCGAATCCATCATCAGAGACAAAAAGGCAGAAACGGGTGGTTGTTGCACAAGGGGCTGCGGTATTTATAGGATGCAGTAGCCATTCTACCGCATACCTATGAACAATTACGGCTCCCCCCTTCATCCGGAATAGTCACACTTGGTGTGATCATTGCTTGATGGCCGACATTCGAGTCGATAATTGCTGCAATTTCATCACGTGCGTTGGATGTTGGCGTGATGATTGCTCGACCATCTGACGCACCGACCCCGGTGTTTGGAAAAGTGTTCACCTCTGCGCTCCCCGCAAGCTCTTGTCCCGGCGATCGTGTCTCCTTCTTCAGGACTACTTCCTGGGACTCGTCTCTTTGCTTCTATAGGTGTCAGTATCGCGACCAAAGGTGCATCTTGACGTAAGGGGGAAGTAGGTGTTGTCCAGGGTTATACGCTATTCTGCGCAGGTTTGCAGGAGAAGCAGGCAATTGTCGTTGCAACCGCCGGTTCCGTGAAAACCCAACACCCCTCCAGGCAGAATGCTCCGTGACGACGCGATTGTTGAAGTCACCAAGAGCAATCAACTTATCCGACTTCGGCATATACGTCAGCAGGGCGTGCAGGTTCTCGCAGAACTTGCTTTTTGCCTCGTCAGGCCTGGTCATTGGTGGGGTGTAGGTGATGATAATGGTGACGAATTGGGATCCCCGAAGAGGCAGGCGTAGGTTAATCAGTCGGTCGGTGATGGTCTACGGCGGACAGGGCGGTCATCCAACGACGTCGTTCCAGATGGCAAAGGCGACGCCCGCGTCACCTCGCTCTGCCTTAGGGAGAACGCCGCAGAAGAAGGCGTAGCCGACATCCACCTTCTCCAATTGGCATTGTTTGGAGAGCTGGGTCTCGCTGAGTGCAGCGATGTCCACGTGGTCGCGCGCCAGTTCCCAAGCGACTAGCACCGTCCTTCGTTCCGGCCGACTGCTCCTGGGATTGTCTAGAAGGGAGCGAACAATCCAGGCTGCCAGAATGAGCGGACTCATCGTAACGGCTCGTAGGGTGAGACGTCGGGAGGAGGAGAGAAAGAGTTTCCAGTCTTGTGTGTTGATTTCGACCGCATGTTAGGGAGTCTGTGAGTCACGGTCTGCGCGCAGAGTTCGTGAACCCGGCTTTAATTAGGGCACATTTCATAGCCCTCTCCCCCTAGAGAGGAAAGCAGTGCCTCCTTAAGTAGGGCTACTTTGTCGCACCAAGCGGACATCGCTCTCCACTACGGGTCAAGAGCTTTAGTGAGAGAACGACCAGTAGCCTGGGCCTCCCATTTAATTGTTGTCGCTCTCGCCGTAGGACTTTCGACCGTGGGTTAGGACAGTAGAGTAGGGCGGTGTAGATGGCGGAGGAGAAGGGCGGGGAGTAGGTGCGAAGGGGTGGAGGAGGAAGATTCTGCCGGCTGCTGTATCAGTAGCTTGCTGAACGATTCTGGCTTGCTGAGGGGTTACAGACGGAGCCTCATATGGGAGGGTTGGCGGCAATGTGGTGGGAGGGGAGCAGAATTACCGCCTGTGGAGATGCCCACGCGGATATCCTTACATGGTTTGGCCGGAGCGGGTGTCGGGCTGTGGCTGCTAGATAGAATCCAGTTTTGGGGAGCCATTGATGAGGGACGCTAGGTGTAGTCAATACCTGCAAGCCAGTGAGCGACCTACTACGACCATCACGGGGACCCACAACTGGAAACCCCTACACCCCACAAACACACACTCACATACGAAAGTTCGACCGTCGCGTCCAACGATATCCACCGTGTGCCCCACAGCAGGGTGACAGCGGACACGGTGAATTAGGCGTAAATTAGTTTATAACGATAGTCGACTTGCACAGCATCTACTGCACTCTTTCCTGTCCCGTCTGTGCCCGGTGTCAAGACCTAGTCAAGAAGACCGGCCGCAAGAGAGGGCGCAGGTGGCTGGCATGGCCGTACCCGCACCTTGGCATACTACCACACCCCCTAGTTCACAACAAACTCTTTACCAGGATTCTTTGTCAACAAAAACAACGACGACTCGCGCCGCCGGAGCCACTCCTAAGGGTGCTGTCGCACCTAGGTCGGATCCTACGGAGTGGGGAATGCCGTGAAGGCCACACTCAGAAGGAGCCATTGCAGCCTGACTCCCAGCCGACCAGCCAGTCTCTCAACACTCAAGCACACAACTGTGCTGACTGCGTGGACCGAGTTGAAGCGTCAGATGACAACCGGTCATGTCACGGAGTTTAGTGCATCATTTTAATCTCAGGCTTGGATCACACAGGCAGCAGAGGAGCCCAACGGGGAAAGGAGCTGAAAAGCAAACTTTCCACTTACGCGCGAGGTGCCGGTAGTGTGGGAGCATGGAGGAATTCATGCATGATGCACATGTTGATAAAGGAATGTATGGCAGTGTGGTCGCGTCTGCGGTCTTCATGAATGCGCATGGAAGGGCAATGCGGCAGTTGAGGGGGATATTGCGATTGTATGCGAGCGCTTCAGATACTGGTTCGCCAGTCTCCATGTAATGGATTCGCAAGTGACCGACCAGGCCGATGCGTTAGATTATTTTGCGATGGCAGTGTCGGCAGCATAGATAGGGAGCGTCAGAGTCGGTTTCAGTGCCGATGGTGGTTGTGCAGCCGTTGGTGGGTGTGCTGGTAGATGGGGTGTTGATTGGGCTAGGTTTGATGGGTGCCCAAAAGAGTAATAGGTGTGTCAAACTGCCGTTAATTCAGCTCGATATCACTAAATTTCGAGTGATTTTTGCCCTGTTGCAAAACTCGACATCCAGCAGTGTAGTAAGAGACGCGTTGTCTCATCCCCCAGTGCCCGGGTTGGAGCGACTGCTCATAAATACTTCCTGCATAATATCAGTTAACACGTGTTAAAATAAAGAGCACGTGGAAAACGGCTTTCGGTATGAAAAAGCGATGTAACAAGTTTTCACTTGGCTGGTTCATATAGATGATTCCGTGGATTCTAAACGTTGCTTTTGAGCTCCGGTGTGGCAGGTGTCCTTTAGGCGCTTTGCCGCCGAACCTTTCACCTGGGTTCGGTCGGCCGGTTTCACAGCTGCTCTTACGTGCCCTGGATTCTTAAGCTTTGCCCACAATCGGAGGAATGGTAGCTTTCATTTCGCTAATGAAACCCAATATGTCATGACGTTGAGTGGCCAGATCAATCCCTCCAGGCGCTCCGAAGAGACCTATCTGCATTTGCTTCTCACTTAGTAACAAGATTGAACTAGCGTTCGCTGCCAAATACCTTAGGCTTTATACTGGATCATCCTAGTCACAACGTTTTGCCCACGCACGACAATTCTACCGGTTCAGGAAGTTAGATGTGGTCGCGGACGCAAAGACAGTTGTCAGATCAGTCAGCCGTACAGAAAAAACCACCTCGGCCGAAGTCTGACGATGAAAATCGCCTTGTACACAAAGTCGAATCCCCTCTTACGCTGCCCTGAGGCTACGACCAAACGGTGCTGGCAGCCACAACGGTCTAAGCGGCTGCGATAAGGGAGCAAATCGACACTATTCTGGTGGGGAGCATATTGAACCCTCTCTTCTCCTACTTTCGTCGGACCCACCTGTAGGCATAAGTCGGCTGCCTCGTTGTCGCATTGCGTTTGACTTTCCAGTACTGATGCCCGCATCATCTAGAGCAGACGATGACCGAGTGCAGTCGGAGGACAGACCGTGCAATTTGATGACGTCATTAATTTCTTCCTCATTCAAATTAAGGACTTTATTCAGATTTTTTCTGCGAAAAACAATATTTCTCTGGCTAATGGCACGGCGGTTAACCTCGGAAAAAGTATTATTTTACTTTC